ACACGGGTTGCCTTGGGTGCGCGTTGCATTTGCCCGAGGATCCAGCGCGGTGTTGCAGCTGTTGCAGTTTCCGTCGAGGCGAAAATCCCGTCGTTTGGGCTGTTGCATGGGACGTGAGTTTGCCACGCTTTGCTCTGCGATCTTTTTTATGGCGATTTTTTTTTTATGTATGTTGGGGTGGGAGTGGGTGCGGGGGGGGGGGTGTAGGACCGGTGGGGTTGCGATATTATTTGTACGATTTTTTTTTGTCTTTATTTTTTTAACTTTTAGGGATTGATAATTTTGATTTTTTTTTAGAGGTAGGGAAGGGGAAGGTTAGGGTGGGTTACGATTTTTTATTATTTTTTCAATTTCATTTTGATCTTTTTTTTTCTTTCTTTCTTTCTTTCTCGGGTTGGGTTCGTTATGGGGGAATTGATAATTTTACGAATTTCAAGGGGCCTAGGTGAGTCAGGGGTTGGGGGGGGGACAGGGGATAGGGGATAGGGATGACAGCATAAGGTCGATATTAGCCTTGTTCTGCCATTTAGCTCTATATGGATAACACGATTCTTTATTTTCTGTGGGAATGTGACATGAAGACAAGACGTGTTTGGATTGGAGTCGTTTGTGTGGAGACGTGTCTGTGAGTGTGTGTCTGTGTCCGCGGTGTTTGTGCGTGTGGGTTTCTCTTTTTTGTGTCTTTCTCTTTCTCTCTCTTTCTATTTCTTTTTCTTTCTCTTTCTCTGTATTTTTTTCTCTTTCTTTCTCTTTCTCTCTCTATTTCTCTCTCTATTTCTCTCTCTATTTCTCTCTCTCTCTCTCTCTCTATTTCTCTCTCTCTCTCTCTCTCTCTCTCTCTCTCTCTCTCTCTCTCTCTCTCTCTCTCTCTCTCTCTCTCTCTCTCTCTCTCTCTCTCTCTCTCTTCCTTTCTCTTTCTCTTTCTCTCTTTCTTTCTTCCCTCCACCTCCTTCCCTTCCCCTTCCCTTCTCTCCTTCGCCTCCCCTTCTCCCCCCATTTCTACTTTTGGCTTTTACTTAGCTCTCAGAGCGGTCTTATTTCTTTTTGTCTTTCTTTTTCTTTTTCTTTTTCTTTTTCTTTTTCTTTTTCTTTTTCTTTCCCTATTCCTAATCCTGTTCCCTTTTCTTTTCCTTTTTTTCGGAGTTTTCCCTCTCCCTCTTGACGAATTTGAGCATTCGTTTACCTGGCAATTTGTCGGCGATCTGGTTATGGCGAGTCATCATTGGCGACGCACGCACACACATACACAAGTCCATGTCCACGTACATGCACACGCACACGGTAATCATGATTGTTGAAAGCAAAATTGTGTTGGGGTTGGTCATGTCTTGTTTGTTTGTTTGTTTGTTTTTTTCGTTTGAAGTGTTGGGTATTTGGATATGACGTGTGTGTGTTTGTGCGTATGTATATGTAATGTTTGCTGTGTGTATGAAGTATATGTATGCATGTGTATATGTATGTATGTATGTATGTATGTATGTATGTATGTATGTATATGCAGAATCATCCTTGATTTGCTTCATTAACTCGACTCGTCTCCCATGCCCGCCCGCCCGCCCCCGCCCGCCCCCGCTCCCCCCCGCCCGCCGCAATGGATTCGCCACGCAGGTCTTGCTCGGTTTCGCGGCTCCGAATAAGTTTCCTCTTCGTTCATTAACTCGGAGGAAAGGCTCTGACTCAAGTTTTTTTTTATTATTATTTTTTGCATCTCTCTCTCATTCTCTCTCTCTCTCTCTCTCTCTCTCTCTCTCTCTCTCTCTCTCTCTCTCTCTCTCTCTCTCTCTCTCTCTCTCTCTCTCTCTCTCTCTCTCCTCCTCTCCTCTCTCCTCTCCTCTCCTCTCCCTTCCTCTCTACTTCCTTCTCCCTCCCCTCTCCCCTCTCCTACTCATACTCCCTCCTCCTCCTCCTCTCCCCCCCCCCCCCCCTTTCCTTCCTATCTATCTTACGTGCTGCGGTTCGTTGGTCGGGGTTATGAGTTTCATTACGCAGCGTGTTGGTCGTCGCCAATGCCTTCGTTTAGTCTTCTCTTGCCCCCCCACCCCCCATCCCCACCCCCACCCCCTCCCCACCCCTTTCCCCGCCCCAGGTATTGGTGGCGGGCGTGTCACCGTTACGTTCCCGGGTGTCACGCAGCGCACGCACACTCGCACAGTCACATGCACGCAAAAAAAAAAAAAAAACCTACCTGTGGAATGCAGATAGTAAGCGTGCTTTACCTTTTGATGATTGAGTCTGTCTCTGTCAGTTTCTCTCTCTCTCTCTCTCTCTCTCTCTCTCTCTCTCTCTCTCTCTCTCTCTCTCTCTCTCTCTCTCTCTCTCTCTCTCTCTCTCTCTCTCTCTCTCTCTCTGTCTCTCTCGTTCTCTCTCGCTCTCTCTTTCTCTTTATGTTTCATATCACTTTCTAGCCCTCCCTCTCTTCGTTTTGCCCTCCCCCTCCTCCTCCTCTGTCCCCTCTCCCTCCCCCTCCCCCTTCTATCTCTCCCTCCCCCTGTGTCTATTTCGCGGCCGTCGCTCCGGGTGTGCATTATGCCGCCGAATATTTTACGCATGCGCGCTGCCAATTACACATCCCGCTGACACGCACGCACGCGCGCCAACAAGCACCTTCTGCTCAGCGCGGTTTGAGAGACGTGGGTTGGAGCCCCTGTGCTTGGGGTGGGGGTGGGGGGGTTGGGGGTAAGGGCAGGGGTTAGGGTAAGGGAGAGGGAAGGAAGATGGGTAAGTGAAGAAGGGTAGTGCGTGGCTATTGGGGGTGGGTGGGGGGTGTAGGATGTGGTAGGGAGGGATACTGTTTTGTGTGCGTGTGCGTGCGTGTGTGCAAGTATGTGTATCTGCGTGCGCTTTGTACGTGTGCCCACTGTATATTTGTCTTTGTATTTATCCATCTGATCCGAGTGCGGGTGCGTGTAAGCAAGCCTCTGCAGCCGCCGCCCACGTCCCCGCCCGCACGTGTTCTTCCCCCCCCCCCCTCCCAAGAGCAACGTCCCCCCCCCCACGCCCGCGCTGTGTCCCGGCGGCGGCGTCGACGAAGCTCTTCCCCAAGAGTGTCTGTCTCTGTCTCTGTGTCTCGGCTCGTCTCGTTAGGGCGTGTGGATCTCCGGTTTCTCCTCCTCTTTGTCGGTTTCTCGGTCTTTCTCTGTTCGTTCGCTTGTGTTTTGTTGTTTTGTTTTTGTTTTGTTTTTCCCCCTCTGTCCATTCTTTGGTTTTTCTTTCTTTCATCTTACCTCTTTGTCTTATCCGTCTATATGTCTGAGTATTCGTTTGATTATATGTTTGTGTTTCAGTTGTTTTGATTATCATTTTACGTTTCTGATGATGCATAATTTTTCTCGATAGGCCTATATCAGTTCATACATGCATGCATACATACATACATACATACATACATACATACATACATACATACATACATACATACATACATACATACATACATACATACATACATACATACAACCTGCCTACCTTTCACCCCCCCCTCTCTCTCTCTCTCTCTCTCTCTCTCTCTCTCTCTCTCTCTCTCTCTCTCTCTCTCTCTCTCTCTCTCTCTCTCTCTCTCTCTCTCTCTCTCTCTCTCTCTCACACACACATACACACACACACACACACACACACACACACACACACACACACACACACACACACACACACACACACACACACACACACACACACACACATATATACATATATACATACATACATACATACATACATACATACATACATACATACATACATACATACACACATTCGCACATACACATTCACACACATTTACACACTTGTATACATAAATATTATTAAAGTCTCTCTTTATTGAGAGGAAGCAGACAATTAGAACTTAACGTATATCTTTAGGTATATGTAGATAAATGGAGAATTATTGTTATTGTCATCGTCATTATTATGATTGTCATTGTTGTTGTTGTTGTTATGATTATCACTATTATTATTGTTTTCTTTTATCATTCTTATTTTTCTGATTGTTATTGGTTATGATGATGATGATGATGATGATGATGGTTGATGATAAGGATAATTCTCATAATCGTAATAGTAATAATTATGATGATGATATTTATAATGATAGTGATAAAGATACTGTTGTTGATGATAATAATATTGATATTGGTCACTTACTATTACTACTACTACTACTACTACTACTACTACTACTACTACTACTACTACTACTACTACTACTACTACTACTACTTCTTCTTCTACTTCTACTACTATGACTACTACTACTACTGCTACTACTACTACTTCTACTACTACTACTACTACTATTATTACTATTACTATTACTATTATTATTATTATTACCATTATTGTTATTGCCATCATCATTATTTTTCTTATAATTACATTAGTTATGATTATATTTATATGATTGTTATGGTTATCATAGATATTGTAATTTTATCAGATTGTTATTTTATTATTATTATTATTATGATTATTATAATTATCATAATAATAACAATAAGAATAATATTGATAATAGTAATAATGAAAATGGTGATAATAGTAATGGTAATAATAATGATAATGATTATATTATTATTATTATTATTATTATTATTATTATTATTATTATTGTTATTGTTATTGTTATTAATGATAAGAAAGATGATAATTGTTAACGATAACATTGTCATTGTTATTTTTATTATTATTATTATTATTATTATTATTATTATTATTATTATTATCATTATTATTATTATTATTATTATTATTATTATTATTATTATTGTTATTATTATTAACATCATTGTTATTGTTGTTATTGTTATTCCTGAATTTATATTTTGTTATTATCATCAACATTCACGATTATCATAATTATTATTGTTATTACTATTACTAGTACTCTTCTTCTTATTATTATTGCCATTGTTATCATTTATATTAGTCTTGTTATTTTTTATTATCATTATTATTAATCCGTTGTCTATAGTAACGTGTGGTGTTTATCTCCCCCCCCCCAG